CATGAGCAGCTTGCATGTCTGGAAAGGCACCATTAATGCAGAGAACTATGTTCAGGTTCTAGAACAACATATGCTCCCATCTAGATGTCATCTCTTTCAGGGAAGACCCTGCATTTTTCAAGACAATAATGCCAGACCACATTCTGCAGCAATCACAACATCATGGCTACGTAGGAGAAGGATCCGGGTACTGAAATGGCCAGCCTGCAGTCCAGATCTTTCACCTATAGAGAACATTTGGCACATCATAAAGAGGAAGGTGCGACAAAGAAGGCCCAAGACGATTGAACAGTTTTAGAGGCCTGTATTAGACATGAATGGGAGAGCATTCCTATTTCTAAACTTGAGAAACTGGTCTCCTCTGCCCAGACGTCTGTTGAGTGTTGTAAGAAGAAGGGGGGATGCCACACAGTGGTAAAAATGGACTTGTCCCAACTTTTTTGGGATTTGTTGACGCCATGAAATTTGGAAACAACAGATTTTTCCCTTAAAATGATACATTCTCTCAGTTTAAACTTTTGATCTGTGATTTGTGTTCTATTCTGAATAAAATATTAGATGTTGGCACCTCCACATCATTGGATTCAGTTTTTATTCACAATTTGTTTAGTGTCCCAACTTTTTTGGAATCCGGTTTGTACCTCCAAACAAGACGGAGACAGAATGAAGGACAGAGACAAAGCAGCTCAGTGTAAGGTTAAAAAAAAAAAACTATCCCAGATGTTTGAACTTCCCACAGAGCAGCATCAAATTTCTGATTAGGAAATAGAAAGATTTTTCCTTCACACCAAACTTGCCAACCATGGGTCATCCACCAAATATCCGATTCTGCAGACAATTTTCAAAGATGAGAATATTTGTTTGTGAGACCACTAAAGGCTGCAAACAGCACTGAACGCTGCTTCTTGGTCAAATGTGAAGAGAAAATTAATGCTAAAGACAAAAATTAAAATAAATAAAATTCTTCTTCTTTCGGCTGCTCCTTATTTTAGGGGTCGCCACAGTGAACTAAGTCGCACGAAGACTTGGCAGTTGTTTTTTTTACGCAGGATGCCCTTCCTGATGCAACCACAGACCACCGAGCTACCACAGCCCTCTGTGTGGAGCAGAGAGCTGCTATCTAGGACACCCGGAGGAGCAGATGGTGGGGGTTAAGGGCCTTGCTCAAGGGCCCAGGGTGGGACGAATGAGGGTGGGGGCAGGTGTGGGTGTTTCACCTACCCCACCCACATTTTTATGTTGTCGGTACCGGGGCTTGAACCGGCGATCTTCCGATCACAGGCCCACCTTCTCTAGCCTCTGCGCCACCACTAACCCATTTAAAAAATACATAAACTATGAGTTCAGGTGAGAATAAATATTTTGTAGAGGCTTTTTTAATTTCAATTGCCTTTTTTTTTATACTACAAATGTATTTAGTCTTTGAATCAACCAGAATACAATTTTCAAGTTATTTTTCTACAATTGATGATGTACTAATTAATATTTTCTTACATATCAAGAATGAAATTACTGTGCTGCTTATAATGTCATCTTAGGCAATATGAACTCACATTTATGTAGCTTTAAAACAAATTTATCATCCTAATGTGAATGAGTAAATACTGTGTGAAATGCTGATATGTTGTTGGTGTTTTAAAGAAACGATGATAAAACAGTCCTGTGGTGGACTGGAGACATGTCCAGGGTGTACCCCGCCCCTCGCACAGTGATTGCTGGACATGGGCACCGACGACCCCCGTGACCCAATATGGAATAAGCGGATAAAAGATGATGGATGGATGGATGGATGGATGGATGGATGGATGGATAAAACGGACTACTTGGAAATGCCAAACGTCATTTTGGAGACTTCTCAAACAAGTGAATCGAGTTACGGAATGATCGGTTGTTGGATGAGATTAAAATTAAACTGTCAAACAAAATACAGAAGAAAACACAGTTCGACAAATAAATCAGTCTTTTAGCACCAACAGATTCCATGAGAAAATGAGAACTTGGTATAAAATAAACTGAAGGTTGATGGATCTCTCAGATCCTGTATCATCTTATATAACATTGTTTTTCTCAAAGGCATGGCTTTCAGATAATGTTCATCTGCTCTAGCTATATTTTTTATTTGTTAGTTTGTTTTAAGATTTGACTCTATAATTTATTTTCACCTGTTTTGGATTTCCATTAAAGCAGAAACACTTTCTCTTAAGAGATTTGTGTCCCTGCATTGATTCATTTAAATGAGTGAACAATACCTCTTTGTGTTTTTGATGAGTGTGCTCGTTATGCTGTAACATTTTGAACAATGTCCTTATTTTTTCAAGTTCAAGTCCATTTTATTGTCATTCTCATCACATGTGGTACACGAGGTGGAACGAAATTATACCATACCATTTTATTTATAGAGCACTTAAAACAGCTACAAGGCCAACCAAAGTGCTGTACAGACAGAACAATAGACAACACACGAAGCAATATACAAAATGAAGTAAATGAAAAATATGGACATAAAAACGATGCAGATTTGTACACAGGGTCCCAGTTACACCAAAAATAGCAAAAATATAAAAGTGTAAAAACAAACATTATATAAGGATCTAAGATGTATACTTCATATTAGGTCTTTGAGATTTTTTATTTGCATGTTGGAATAGAGCGGCATGGTGGCACAGTTGGTAGAGCTGCCACCTCTCAGCGAGCAGGTCACTGGATCAAATCCCAGCCGGTGGTCTTTCTGGGTCAAGTTTGCATGTTCTCACCGTGCATGCGTGGGTTTTCTCTGGGAACTCCGGTTTCCTCCCACAGATCATAAACATGCATGTTAGGCTGATTGGTAACTCTAAATTGTCCCTAGGTGTGAGTGAGAGAGTGAATGGTTGTTTGTCTCGTTTGTCTCTATGTGTCCCTGTGATGGACTGGAGACCTGTCCAGGGTATCCATCACCTCCCGCACAGTGACTACTGGATATGTGCACCAGTGACCCCCACAACCCAGAAAGGAAGAAGCAGGTAAAGACGATGGATGGATGTTGGAATTGTGTGATAAGTCCCTTAATATCTTGGATTAAGATTTGAAAAATGCTAAATTGTTTCCAAGTGGCCTCAAGTACAACAAAAATAATGTTCAGTTTTGTTTGTTTTTAACCAAACATGTTGCAATATGACCAACCCTCTTTGCTTTGGACTTATTGTATTTGACAACAGAACAGTGTTTTTGAAATCTTTTAGTTTATTCACCTTTTCCAAATTTAATTCAGTCAACCTCTGTTAATTTTCAAGGAGATATATTTCTTAAGCAACCATCATCTACTTGTTCTGTTGCCATAAACTGCAGCTTGGACCATGCTGAGGCCTGCATGTTTTGTTCTTTTAACTGATCGTCGGCTTCAGCGCTTCAACACTTTGTTCAACGCTAGGGACAAAACTTCCTTCCGTGGGCTCGGTGTATGTACAAAAACAAGAGCAGCAGGAATCATCAAGGACTCACTTCATCCAGCTCACTCTTATCAGACACAAAAAATTTTCATTTAACCTGAGACACAGCAGAGCAGATAGCATCATCACCCATAATACAAGATTTTTTAATAGATTTTTTTCCCTGCCTCAGTCAGACTGATGGTAAAACAAAAATACTGATCAGGTGCAACAATAACCAAACACTGCCTAACTGCACTGGTCATGTGACCCAATTTACTTTCTGTACAGTGCAGCTAGAAACCACTCTGTTCTTATTTTTATTTTGTGTTGTTTCAGTGTTTTTGACTATGACTAACTGAGAGAGCGCTGCACAAAAATTCCAATGTACCTGGATTGTTGCACAAATGGCAAATACGGTACTTTGAACTGCATCTGTGCTGCTGATTATCCATGCTGCTGATTTTTTACCCATAAGCTTTTATATACCCATCTGCTAGCAACAGACTCATGTTCATGCTGCTCTTTAATACAACTTATTATATTATTATTGTTTAGTGTATAGTTAAGTTCCTTGTATGCCGTTTCTTCTTTTCTTTAATATACTTTATATTATTGCTATTTTTGGGGTGTAACTGGGAACTTGAGTACTTAATTTCATTCCACCTCATGTACCACATGTGATGCAAATGACAATAAAGTCACCTTCAAGGTAAGCTGGCTGGGTCCACTTCTGGGAAAATTGTCAAAACACTTTTCAGAATTATCTTTCTCTCTTTAGACTGCAGGTTTGATTGTTTTCTGTTGACACTAATTACTTGGCCATGTAAACCTATTCCCAGAGTGTATACCAAGCAAACATTGCTTTTCAACGACCATTGTTGATATATTTTCTTATTAGGAAGGCCTAATGCTTATGACAACAATGCTTAATGAGTTGTTCTGATATGTGAGACTTTAGTTTAACCCATGAAAGTAAATAAATGTATTATAACATTATTCTAACTGGCAAGTTATATGTGGTGAATAAAAAAAAAATCATGTTTAGGTGGAGATTCTTTCTTTCTATCTATCTATCTATCTATCTATCTATCTATCTATCTATCTATCTATC